TAAAGTATCAACTAGTATTGTTTCTCGTATTAATTATTACTAGAATCAATCGGTTAATACGCTTGTTATTAATCCGGTTCTTTCAACGGTAGTAAACTTGGGATATTAATGCATGCATCTCATGGTTAAACCAATAAACCGCTTGTGTTGAGGTTATCAATCTCAATCGTTTTCATCTTAAGTTTATTGCTACTATCAAGTTAATATACGGCGCTTGTTCTATATTGACTCGATAGTAAGTTTTATTAATGAACGCATCTCGTTATTAATAACTACCCTCGATGAACTGGATATACTCCTCGATTGAGTATTCGAGAGGAAGATAGTTAAAGATATAACCGGGATCGACGAACATTTCATTAAGTGGATAAAAGCAAAACCAAGTCCCCATCTCATTGAATTAAACTCATATAGGTCGTTTATCTTAGTGTTATTAAACCAAGCAAATCTAAACCCCCCTTGTTATTATTTATATAAAATAAAAGTATTCCTTTCCCTGTGGATACGAACCTTACTACACTATACTACGTATTAGTGTTGTATTGATTAATTATTTTGAGTGCACCTAACGACGAGTGCACGTCAAATTTGGCGCCGTTGCCGGGGAAAGGCAATTAATTTTTCTTTTATTTTCATATCAAGAAAAATAAAAAATAAATATATTTTTTTTAAAAAAAAATCTTGCTCTTCTATTTTCTGAGCTTACATGAGTTATGAGTATATGGATACCAACACTTCATCCTTAGAGAGTCAAATTTCCTTCTTGACTTCTCTAATAAAGGAATCTATCTTTAACTCAAAAGCTCAAGACATGCAACATTTGCATGTCTCACAGACATCTTACGGACTTCTGCCCAAAGGTCCAAGAAGAATACATTGCACAAATTGATGATGTACCTCACATGAGGTATGATCCATTCTCCGACTCTAATATGTCCACGGAGGACATGGTTCGGGCTCTTGCTAACAGCGTAACCACCATGCAACAAAACATGGTGCAATTCCAAAATGAGACCAAGACTAGCATTTTGAGCTTGGAATCTCAAGTAAGTCAAATAGCCGGAGTCGTGAGTAGGCTTGAAGCAAGGGATCTGGGAAAACTTTCCTCTCAAATAGAATGTGATCCTAGACAGCAAACTTTTGCAATCACATTGAAAAATGAAGAGGAAATGAAAAAAGAGATCCAGAATCCAGAAGAAGTAGAGGAAGAAAAGGACACAGAGCCCCAACTGGTCAAAGAAGAGGATAATCTGAGCTTCAAGGTTAAATATCTATCCTTGTCGTCTTTTGAGGTACCCCCATCAATTCTGAAAATTTTGAGGAAAACTCATAAACTTGAAAAAGACAATGACACTTCTGAAATATTCTTCAAAATTGAGGAGCCGAAAAACTTTTTGTTGACCATACTAAAGGATAATTTCTTCCCATTCCTCCCACCACACGAATCAATGAAAATCTGGATATTTGATCCTGGAAAAAATTCCAAAGTGGAGAGTCGAGAAATTGAGCACTCCTATGGAAGTCCTAAGAGTGAAAATGCGAAGATAAACTATCATGATCCCAGTTTGAACGACTGAACACAATGATGGCGTCGTGCCGCGACGTTAACTAAGGCGCTTCTTGGGAGGCAACCCAAGCAAGGTACGTTTACTTGTTTTATTTTATTTATACACTTTTAAAAAATAATGACCTGGGATTGAACCAGGCCGTGTATAAAACCCCACCCGGTCGGGTTACCTCTAAAAACAAAACACCCGGCCAACCACCCGGGCGAGGCAAGAGCGGAACAATGATAAACCAAACACCCGACCGGGTAGACCCCCATACCCGGCCGGGCAACCCAGCAAAAGCTTTCTGCCTCGGGTGAACAGTTTACACCCGACCGGGTACACTATCCCATCCGGCCGGGTATCTCGATTTTTTGGAAACCAGGCCATTTCTCATAAAAAAAAAATCACCCCCTTTGTCTTCCCTTTCGAACCACACCCCAAATTTCCTCCATTTCCAAAAGTCAAAAACTTCATATCTCCTACATCCATCCACCAATTAAACTCATTTCATTCATCACCTCTTCACCCTTTTCATCTCCACACCCACGAATCACCAACAAAACCTCCCAAAAAGTAACCAAAAAAAAAATCATCTCAGACACAAGCACTAGGGACAGTGCTTTGATTAGCTTGGGGGGAGAGTTTTATGGAATACTCACATTCATACTCATTATTCTTGTAAAAAAAAATATATTAAAAAAGCTTGTTAAGTTGAAAACCTGAAAGGACAACTTAAGCAAAAATAAAGCAAAAATGAGAGTGAGTTGTGAGGATTAAAACAGAAAAATGTGGGAAGCTGGGATGAAAACCCGAAAGGGCACCTAGGCAAAATGAGAGAAAGAGAGAAAGTATTTTCTTTTATTTCTGCAGGATCCTAAGGGTAACGAAAAAAAAGGGTTGAGGTTGATAAAGAAATATGGAGTTGAAGACCCTCTTTACTGTTATATTTTTGGGGATATTCTTTATGTGCTTCTAAAAACACTCGTGGATGTGTGTGTTGATATTCTTGTCATTTTAATGACTTTTTGGACCGGATTTGATTTACTCGAGGATGAGTAAAGAAACTAAGTGTGGGGGAGTTGACATTCATGTAATTTCCATGTTTATTTTTGTATTTTAAATTAGTTTTGATTGACTTTTACTTTGGAAATTACACACTTTTGGTGTAATAGTTTAGTTTGTAAAATAGTTGTAATTTGATTAGATTAGGGACTTTCTAAGCTTAAACTAGGTAAAGATCGTCAAAAGGATCCTGGAAGGTTCAAGAAAAGTGCAAGGGAACAACAAAAAGTGAAAATTTGGGAAAATAGTCAAAAACCCGACCGGGTTTTCCCAAAACCCGATCGGGTTTGACTTGACCCGAAGATCAAATTTGATTTGGAGGCAATTTAACATGCAGAGCGAAGATTTGGCAAAGATTTGTCTTTTACCCGATCGGGTAAATCAAAAACCCGATCGGGTAGATGTGACTAATGAACATTCCGGGCAATTACTCAAGAAACCCGATCGGGTTTCTCAAAAACCCGGTCGGGTAAATGACCCTGCTACCTCCAAACACCTATAAATACACCTCTTTTCCTTCCCATTTGATATCCAATCCCTTGTACATCTAAGCTCAGTATAGAATAGCTCTTTCTTTATATTTTTCATCATGTTTAGTCTCCAAATGAGGAGCTAAACTCTTCCATCTTGGTTTTGCTACTTTGAAGCTTAATGAATTTGTAAGTTGTGAGTTATTTTCTTTAATCTTCTTCTTTGAATATTAATTCTTTCTTTCAAAATACTATCTCTATATCAAAGTTGGGGAGTGTTACTAAGATGACAATTAGTTAACATCTTGACATTGGTTATAGTAATAGCTATTTCTTCCTCTATGATTATATTGGGGAGTGTTGCTAAGATGACAATTAGTTAACATCTTGATATTAATCATAGTAGGATTCATATATTTTAATATTCTTCCTTGAGTATTGATTAATTCCTATTCATATTTCATGTTAATATCTTAAACATTACTTAAAGTATCAACTAGTATTGTTTCTCGTATTAATTATTACTAGAATCAATCGGTTAATACGCTTGTTATTAATCCGGTTCTTTCAACGGTAGTAAACTTGGGATATTAATGCATGCATCTCATGGTTAATATGCCAAGGGGAATTAATTATATTGATTAAACCAATAAACCGCTTGTGTTGAGGTTATCAATCTCAATCGTTTTCATCTTAAGTTTATTGCTACTATCAAGTTAATATACGGCGCTTGTTCTATATTGACTCGATAGTAAGTTTTATTAATGAACGCATCTCGTTATTAATAACTACCCTCGATGAACTGGATATACTCCTCGATTGAGTATTCGAGAGGAAGATAGTTAAAGATATAACCGGGATCGACGAACATTTCATTAAGTGGATAAAAGCAAAACCAAGTCCCCATCTCATTGAATTAAACTCATATAGGTCGTTTATCTTAGTGTTATTAAACCAAGCAAATCTAAACCCCCCTTGTTATTATTTATATAAAAGAAAAGTATTCCTTTCCCTGTGGATACGAACCTTACTACACTATACTACGTATTAGTGTTGTATTGATTAATTATTTTGAGTGCACCTAACGACGAGTGCACGTCGTTTACAGGTGTTTGGAGGTAGCAGGGTCATTTACCCGACCGGGTTTTTGAGAAACCCGGTCGGGTTTCTTGAGTAATTGCCCGGAATGTTCATTAGTCACATCTACCCGATCGGGTTTTTGATTTACCCGATCGGGTAAAAGACAAATCTTTGCCAAATCTTCGCTCTGCATGTTAAATTGCCTCCAAATCAAATTTGATCTTCGGGTCAAGTCAAACCCGATCGGGTTTTGGGAAAACCCGGTCGGGTTTTTGACTATTTTCCCAAATTTTCACTTTTTGTTGTTCCCTTGCACTTTTCTTGAACCTTCCAGGATCCTTTTGACGATCTTTACCTAGTTTAAGCTCAGAAAGTCCCTAATCTAATCAAATTACAACTATTTTACAAACTAAACTATTACACCAAAAGTGTGTAATTTCCAAAGTAAAAGTCAATCAAAACTAATTAAAAATACAAAAATAAACATGGAAATTACATGAATGTCAATGAGTTAAGGGCCCCCGACACCACTGTACTTGGCTAGGGGAAAGTTTGCCTAGGGCTGCTACAAACCGAGGGCATACTCATGGCATTACCCAAAAAATGCCAAAGTCCACAGCACCAGTCCCCGAGGGTAGACAACGAAGGCTAGCTATTTCATACAGCTAAAGGGAGATGTCAACCGAGGGCGTCGTGGTAAACATCACTTAGAAAATTTTCTAAGTCCTAAATATTTGGCCCTCGGTCGATCATGCTGCAGACATACGTTCATAAAGCTGTGAAGAAAGCATAAAGGAAAGAAGGCATTCATTCACAAAAATGTAATGTAAATGTTACATGATGGCCAAAGCCGGAAACATAAGAAGTTATTACAAGACATCGTTCAAGATACATCTAAGTACAAACATTAGCGGCACTCTAACATTCTTGCATCAGCACCGAATCCTCTACGTCGGGCCTCTCGACACCCGAAGGGAGGGGGGTTCTAACGTCTAGCTGTAGGGGGAAGGCCATAAGATGCTGGATCAAAGTCCTTCGGGGACACCCCATAATGCCGGGCCAGCCTCCTGTAGACGAGGGCTTGAGTAAAGAACTCACCCCCGTCGTAATAGTCCTTGCCTTTCCAGGCCAACCATTCAGCCCCGGGGTCGCCTACCCAAGCATCTACTGAGGCCTCCAACACCGAGGCCGACCATTGCTTCTGGTCCTTGGCGACGGCCTCTCAGCGATGAAGGCAACAACAACATCTTCCCGGGCCTTGGCGACGGCCTCTCCCTTGGCTGCCTCGGCCTCATCAGCAGCTTTCTTGGCGGCTTCAGCGACAACCTTCTCAGCCTCAGCCATGCCCTCGGCCCTGGACTATGTCCTAACCTTTTCAGCCTCAGCCTTTGCCTGCCGAAGGGCCTCCTCCAGCCTGGCCATCTCCCTAACAGCTGCAACATTCTCTTTGACAAGCTTCGTCAAAGACTCGTCTTGCTGTGCCTTCTGGAGGCGCATATCTTCTACCCTCCGGATCTGTTCGCCGAGGGCGATGCAAGCCTATAAGCAAACAAGCAAAAGGATTACACTATTATGCAAAATACGTTAAGGCCAAAGGACTAAGGAAACATAAACAACGAGGGATCTTATAGTTAGAGAAGACCGGAGGATCTTGGAGTCAAGGGCTTCATCCTCAAGACGACTCATGGCAGCCTTATCCAACAAGGGGGTACCGCCCTTCAGGAACTCCCTCGGGTCAACTGTGCCATGCATGATGGCAGTCCCCTTCACAAGTGAGAACTGTACACTCTCCCGGGGCAAGTCCCCCCCACCGAGGTTTCCCGAAGGGATGTTGGAAGGAGTCGTCGCCACCACAGCAAGGGGATCGGACGAAGAGTGCTCCTCCACGATGATGATGGGGGTAGCCTTCTTCCCGGCATCCCCCCTCTTCGACTTCTTGCCGGTGGGCACAACACTTTTGCCAGCTGCCTTCCTCTTCACAGCAGCAACGGCAGCTTCGATGCCTTCGGCCTCAACATTAGGAGGAATGGCCGAAGAGGGCTCACCACCGTTCTTGAAGAATTCATCGACGGGCTTTTGGGTTCCCGTCTCCTTCTTCTTCGGCTCCTTGGCCAGCTTCTTCTTCAAACCGGCAAAATTCCTCACGTCCATATTAGCACCTGCAAGATAACAAGAATGAATTAAACCGAGGGGTCAAGACAACAAAAGTGAAACTACAAAAATTTCTAAGTACAAAATGCTAGAGCCTTCGGGAACCACCTCCTGCGCTCTCGAAGGTACGATCAATGAAAGGGTACTTTTCGTCCTTTTCCCCAGGAAATGGTAGCCCGGAAGCCCAGGCTGTACAGATCCTCCGGGAGGGTCGAGTCCTTGATTGTAACATGCTCTGTGGACCCCTTCGGAAGAGCGGAAAGCTTCCTTCCATCCTTCTCGAGGGCGGCACTCCCCACCTTCGGGTGGCGCCTAAAATGGTTCCGCAACTCCCCGGGAAACAGATTCACCCCCATCTTGATGTAACAGAAGCGGTCCTTCTAGCCCTTATGGAATGAGGGCGCGTCAGAAAAAAGCTTCCACTGGGCGATATGTTCCAGATTCGCGAAGCCTTCAGAATTAGCATGACCCCCCTGGCAGAGGTTGAAGCTCTAGAAGAACAAATCGAGACTAGGAGTCACCCCCGGGACCGGTAGAGGTTCAGAAAACCGTCCACACCTACGCCTTCGCCATACAACAGACTCAATGAAGATTCCTTTTAGAGACAATCAACCACTGCATTTAATGTGGCGTCACGTCCAACCATCGCATTGAATGCGGTGCACATGTAAATGCCAATGCCGCCCCGATTGAGGCGACCCTCGGCCGTCAGATGCTTGACACGTGTCCTTGTCTAGCATTTATGCCTACTATAAATATCAGCCACTTTCCATTGTGATAAACAACAAACATTCATACTCGAATACACTCTCTCTCTTACTTATTTCTCTGGCCTCTCTCTAGGTTATTCCTCTAAATAACCCCTCATATAAGCTACCCCCGGGTACACTATCCATCACGGCCTTACGGCCGAACAACATATACATGCATATACACACATGCGTAATACTCATGATTACTGGTCGAAGTGGTATAATAATCCTTGGTCTAGATTCATTTTTCGCACTACCCAGGTGCTATCAGAACCTCCTAGTGGCTCGCCGGGCGCACCGCCCAAGTACGTACTTCGTTCTGTACTGGGTAAAATACTCATTCGGGCATTTAGTGCTGGGCGGGACCATGAATGGTCTTTAAATTAAAATGCGTCATCGAGCAATGCCTTTGCGAGACGCTTTTAGTCAGCCTATTTGGACCGATCGGGGTGGGCCGATACACTCATTAAAACCACACGGTTAATTAAAGTGTTGGTGGACTTGTTAATAAAGCGTCCTTCGACACTACTTTATTCGGGATTTTTTAATCCCTACCAATAATGGTGATGTGTAATTGATAGTAGAATACTACATCAAGTTTGTTAATATTTCCATGAATTAACCGACCTTACTGAGCGGGTCCATAGATGCTCTGACCGCCAATTAAGGCCAATTGGGGTAGGCCAACGGCCCCCACTAAAATCAATCATTTAATTTAAAAATGATGGTGAACTTGTCACCAGAAGCTTCGCTCGGTCATTATTTAATTTGGAAAAATTTTTAATCCCTAAATTAATAATGGTGATACATGCATTAATAGCAATAATAGTATTTAAAATTTTAAATGGGAAGCAAAAGCATGGTGGTACTTAGCTGTATGGGCTGAAACCAAGTGGGCCTGATTTTTTGCTGACCAATATGAGAAATCGGCGTCTCGACTGCCTTAGGATAGCAAGCCCATACTCAAGCGTTGAAAACAGGGAAAGCCGGTCGAAGTGTTCCAGGTGATTGATGTGCCGGACTATAGATGTGTCGTACGCCAGATGCGCCGGACGGCGTGAAGCCATACGAGAACTCCAACCGAGAAATTCCCATTCACCGAGAGACCGGTCGTATCTTCTTCCCCCCCTAGGCATGGCGCCCCTTTGATGTGCCCAGTCAACTGAACAAACTGTTCGACGGTCTGGGAGATTTTTTTTTGTTTTGTTTTGTGGACGAATGTTGGGATTAATTAATTAATCTTAATTAGTTTACTTCCTAGGGAACATAAATTATCTTTCTCTACTTTTATTGGAAAGATGAAAGGTCTTCTTGGAAAGGTAAATTATATTTCCTAGAGATTATTTTACTCCACTTGTAATGTCTATATAAGGCCACCAATCGTAATGTTCTATCAAGTGGAATATAATACATTCTCCTCCATTCCTTTGAGTTGTAAGTTAGCCAATCACTTAGAATATTTTCGGATATTTGGGGCCTTCAAATTGGTATCAGAGCCACCATTGAAGAAGAAGATGGCAGCCACCATGTTCGGCCAACTACCTAAATTGAAGAAAGCAAACTTCGACCGATGGAATGCTCAAATGAGAGCACTGTTTAAGTCACAAGGAGTATGGGATGTTGTCGATAATGGCTACATAACACTGGAGGAAGGAACCGTCTTGACGGTTGCCCAACAAGTGGAACTCGAAGGAGCACAAAAAAGGACCAAACGGCACTGTTTTGGTTGCTTCAAGCAGTGGATGACACCATCCACGAGAAGATAGCCGATGCCGAAACTTCAAAAGAAGCTTGGGACATCATCGAAAGAGTATTCAAAGGAGGGGAAAGAGTAAAGCAAGTGAGGTTGCAAACTCTACGAGGAGAGTTGGAGACTATGCGGATGAAAGAGAACGAGAAGGTCATCGAGTACATTAATCGGGTGATGACCATAGCAAACCATATGAAGAGAAATGGTGAAACCGTAAGTGAGAGTCGGATAGTAGAAAAAATTCTACGAACACTTACGGACAAATTCGAGAACGTGGTATGCACAATCGAAGAAGCTAGAAATATTGAGACGCTTACCATTGACGACCTGTCGGGGTCGTTGGAGGCACATGAACAAAGAAAGATGAAGCAACTAGAATCGCTAGAAGAGGCATTACAAACTGTGGTGGTAGAGGAGAAGGCAATGTATGCCCATCAACCGAGAGGTCGAGGCCGAGGTCACTTCCGTGGTCGGGGCCAAGGAAGAGGAGACTACAACCGAGAGGAGAATACCCACCAGAACCGGGAGGACCAACATCGCCCGACCTGGAGAGGCCGAGGCAGAGGAGCTGCTCGAGGCGGTCGGGGAGGCAGACCCGATGGGGAATGCTACAATTGCGGGAAACGGGGACATTTCGCAAGAGACTGTTGGTCGAAACCAAAACCGGAGGAGAATCTAAATGTTGCTGAGCATGAGGATGATGATGGAGATGAGGAAGGAGTGCTCTTACTAGCACACAAAGAAGGAAGCTTAACAGACGACGCTACGTGGTACTTGGATACCGGGGCGAGCAACCACATGAGTGGTTATAAACATTTATTCACTGAGTTGAAGGAGGCTGAGAGAGGAAATGTATCTTTTGGAGATACATCAAAAGTAGTTATCAAAGGCCGAGGAAAGGTTAAATTTCTGCAAAAGAATGGACAAGAGGGGACGATTGAAAACGTACTCTATGTCCCGAGCATGAAGACAAATATCATAAGCATGGGACAGCTTATGGAGAAAGGGTATTCAGCCGACCTAAGTGGTCGATACCTACACTTGAAGGATAGACGAGGCCGGGCCGTCGCCCGGGTAGAGATGGCCAAGAACGGAATGTACAAGTTGGACTTGAGAAGCGTAAACCATAAGTGCTTGAAAGTCGACCTGACGGACAAGTCACTATTATGGCACCTACGTTTCGGACATTTGAACTTTGGAGGATTAGCCGAGCTGAGCAAAAAGGGCTTGGTGCATGGACTACCCGAGATGGATTTTCCAAAGCAAGTCTGTGAAAGCTGCGTACTTGGGAAACACACCCGGACGAGCTTTCAGAAGACTGCCAAGTACCGAGCCAAGGGAGCATTGGAGACAGTCCATACGGACATTTGTGGGCTGATCACACCATCATCCTTCAGTGGGCGAAGGTACTTTATCACCTTTATTGATGACTACACCAGGAAGACTTGGGTATATTTTCTAAAAGAAAAATCGGAGGCCTTTAAAACATTCAAAAATTTCAAAGCCGAGGTGGAGAAGACAATCGGGCTGAAGGTGAAAGCGTTGAGGTCAGACCGGGGGGGAGAATACATTTCAGACTCTTTTACAAAGTTTTGTGAAGAGGAAGGAATTAGAAGATTCCTTACCGCCCCGTACTCGCCTCAATAGAACGGGGTGGCCGAGCGAAAAAACCGGAGCATTATGGACATGGTAAGATCCATGCTCAAGAGCAAAAATATGCCAAAGCAATTTTGGGCCGAGACGGTACGATGTGCGGTGTATGTATAGAACAGGTGTCCGCACTCAAATCTTGAAAATCTAACACCTCAAGAAGCATGGAGTGGTCAAAAGCCGACCGTGTCACACTTGAGGGTGTTTGGGAGTATCTCTTACGCACATGTGCCCGATCAGAGACGGACAAAATTGGAAGACAAAAGCAAGAAGCTTGTCTTCATTGGCTATGATGAGAAGACAAAGGGATATAGACTATATGATCCCGAGGAGAAAAAGATCACAGTGAGCAGAGATGTAGAGATAAATGAAAAAGGAAGCTGGGATTGGAACACAGAGAACGAGTATGTCCCGGACGGGACCTCAAATAACGAGGACGTCCCGGACGGGACCTCAAATGACGAAGAGACCCCGGGCGGGACCCCAATTCCAATCCCGCTCGGGATGACACCAGAACCAATCAGGGCGGGATCTATGACGACCCCGGGGGACGAGGAAGAAGAAGAAGGGACGAGCCGGCAAAGGTACAGAAACATACAGGACATATATGAAGCAGCTCCAGAGGTTCACATGGTATGTCTTCTAGCCGATGGGGAGGATATTACTTTTGAAGAAGCCAAGCATGATGAAAAATGGAGAGATGCCATGAACGAAGAAATAAAAGCGATTGAGAAGAATCAGACCTGGGAACTTACCAATCTCCCGAGAGGTCATAAGCCGATCGGAGTCAAATGGGTGTATAAGAAGAAATGCAATGCTGAAGGTATGGTCGAGCGATACAAAGCTCGGCTTGTTGCAAAAGGTTACAAGCAAAAGGCTCGGAATGAGAGACCGAAGAGAATTAAGATTAGGGGAGGAATTTGTTGGGATTAATTAATTAATCTTAATTAGTTTACTTCCTAGGGAACATAAATTATCTTTCTCTACTTTTATTGGAAAGATGAAAGGTCTTCTTGGAAAGGTAAATTATATTTCCTAGGGATTATTTTACTCCACTTGTAATGTCTATATAAGGCCACCAATCGTAATGTTCTATCAAGTGGAATATAATACATTCTCCTCCATTCCTTTGAGTTGTAAGTTAGCCAAACACTTAGAATATTTTCGGATATTTGGGGCCTTCAGAACGGTGAAGACCGAGCGGCAACTCCCGATCGACCTAACGGCTGCAATAGGTGGGATTTGGCCGTATGAACCATGCTGAGGTGCGACCGTGCGAATGGGGACTACGGCCGGAGAACGACCGACGGCAAGGAAAGCTGCGCATGAGCCGGACTTTGGCCGTTACTTCCACATCATTGGAAGTCAGGGTGAGATTCGGCGTGCAGATACTCCCGCGTGCTCCCATGTTCGAGATATTTGGTTGGATAGGGGAATTCTGGTGGATTGCCGACCATGAAGATCGACCGTTCGGAGAGCTGACGTCCCGCTGCCAAATAACTGAGGGGATAGTGCGTGAATTGGGCAAACTCAGTTGCCGGAAGCCGGATAGGTGACGCCGGATGGCGCTGCCTAGCCGTCCTGGTTTTTAAAGGCAGTGCATCTATGTGTCTTCCATTTACATGCATGTCTCGATGGTGGGTGCAATCGAAAGATATTGACCTAGAGGCCCAATACCCAGATCGAGAAGGCCCAAGATATCCGGCCCAAGCAACGGGCCCATCACCCTATGATGAATAGATCCAGTAAGAAGACATACCGAACGGAGTTCGGCCCAAATAAAGGTTGGCCTAGTAAGAAGACATACCGAACGGGGTTCGGGCTATATATCGTACTTGGGTCAATTTGACAGCATCTTCAGTACAGCCCAACATCCCGTTCGAGCAACGGCCAACCAGCAAGTGGCCAGGTGCAATTAATGTCAGACTATGACATCAGCAAGTGAAAGCATGGATGACCAAGTCGGTGGAACAACGGCCAATCAGCATGGGGCAGCCCATGCTTTCCATTAGTATAAATAGAAGGTTTCAAGTCATTGTAAGGGTTAGCATTTCAATACTCAGGCTCTAGAATAGCATCATTGCTCTTATTTCTTGTATTAAAGCATAGTTTCCGACTTACCGATCGGGAAATTCCTTGTAATCAGACTGGTTAATTAATACAAGTGAACTTTCGAGTGTTAGTTAGTTCAGATCTTATATTTTTTACACGCTTTGATTCTGTGTCATTCCTGATATATCCAAAGTTCGTGTTGGGCTTTCGGATCTACGGGATTTACCCTCAACATTGGCGCCGTCTGTGGGAAACTTGCAAAAAGTTTCACTTTCAAATCATCCAAAAACCTCTATTTTTCAAAAATGGTCAGAATCAGTTCCTATCATACAAGCGACGGTTCACGCCGTCACGGGAGGAGTCACACCCCGGGGAGTCAAATCCCTCAGGGCCAATCCAGTCGAGGATCGTATCCTCGTTTTGATGGGGATTTTGTGATTCCCGAATCTCTGAGAAGAAATCCTCAGGCCATGCGGGACATGGCCCAGGTCATGCAGCACATGGCGAATGAAGAGGAAGGAGGTTCCAGCTTTACAGGGGAGACTCCACGCACGGAAACAACCACGGCGTCATCCCTTTCACATGCCCATCGGGATAATCGACGCAGCGCCCCACCAACAGCGCACCACAGTCCCAGTGACCGCACCCCGGTCGGATCACAAGCTAGAGGACCAACCCCCGTTGGTCATCATTTCCAGTATGCCGAGCGGGAAAATACTAGGGCCCCTCTGCGGCATTGGGACCGGGACTGTACGGATATGAGGGCTCCACCACCGCCCCCTTTGACGGCCCAGGAGGAAGAAATGGCCGAGATGAGGAGGCAAATGAATGAAATGCGAGACCAGATGAACAGGGTACCTGTACAACCTGCCCCAGTTCAGCTGGGAATTACTTCCCTGTTTACTAGGGAACTCATGTACGCAGATATCCAAGGGGGTGCCAAACCCCCGATCGGCCAAATCTATGACGGGGTGGGAGATCCCCACGTACATCTGAGGAGTTACCAAGAGGGACTCATGCTGCTAAGAGCACCCGAGGCCGCCATTTGCCGGTTGTTTTTCAGCACGCTCAGGGGGCCTGCCCAGGAGTGGTTCGGGACACTGCAGCCCGGGTCAATCAACGGCTTTGCCGAGTTATCGGCTTTATTCTTGGCTCAGTTTGCTTCCAGTGCCAATCCCAAACGGCACTTCAGCTATTTGACCAGCGTGAAGCAAAATGCCAAAGAGACCCTCAATCAATTCCTGAAAAGTTGGAGGGATGAAACTTTAACGGTGGGAAACATGACGGATGATACCGCCATTACCCTATTCACAAATGCTCTCCGAACGGGGGAGTTGTACAAAGAGTTGAAGAAAAATCCGGGTACAGTGTACGCCGAGGTATTAGATAGGGCTCGCAAGCATGCCGCCCTAGAAGAGGAGATAATGATCAGGGATAAGGTCATTGCGCCTGCTGCCCCGATCAGAATGGCTGATCGGCTGGGTCCTAGCCCAGCAGCCGCTTTACCTCCCAAGCAAGGGAGATTTACACCTCTGGTCCTATCAGTAGCGACCATTTATCAGCACGAGAGGGACAATATTCCCCTCCCGACTGATTCTGGACAGTTCATGGGAGCGGATGACAATGCCTTCTGTAAATATCACAACAGGAAGGGTCATGCCACCAATGCCTGCAGGGCCCTACAAACAACCATTGAGGATTTGATCCGAAGGGGTCATCTGGGCAAATATGTAAATAAAGATCCAAATGCTATGGGCACGTTGAAACTGGCCAGGAAACCTAATAGCTGGCGCCGGGATGCCCAACGTGACGCCCAGCCTCAAAATGATGTGTATGTTCCCCCCAGAGATGAACCAG